GGCACGCCACAACGCCCGGCTATTTCTTTTTTTTTCGGTTGCATCCATCATTGTTGTTTGGCGGGCCCTGGCTAGATTCAAACCTGCCACCTTAAGTGTATGTGGCTGGCGCCTTAGCCACTTGAGCCACAGGTGCAGAGCTGCTAATTCTGTTCTTCATAAACTTTAACTGTAGTTCTCACAGATATAAAATTTTAGTTAACACTTATCCCTGTAATAGCCAATACAATACCTCATTGTTCAACTTTAGCATGTTACATGAAACTGATAATGCCAATAACCCTTGCATTTGCAATAATGTAGCTAATGATACTTTTTTTTTGAGACAGAGCCTCAAGCTGCCCCCCTGGGTAGAGTGCCATGGCATCACAGGTCGCAGCAACCTCCAACTCCTGGGCTCGCAGCAACCTCCAACTCCTGGGCTCAAGCGAGTCTCCTGCCTCAGCCTCCCAAGTAGCTGGGACCACAGGCGCCTGCCACAACGCCAGGCTATTTTTTGGTTGCAGCCATCACTGTTGTTGGGTGGGTCTGGGCTGGATTCAAACCTGCCACCTTAGGTGTACGTGGCTGGCGCCTTAGCCACTTGAGCCACAGGCACTGAGCCTAATGATACTTATAACTTGTTGTAAAGTGTCACTTAAATAGTAGCTTTAGCACACAGATTTTGCTAATGCATGATACTATGTATAATGGAAAATGATGAGAACATCTGGATCTTTTAATACTTTTTTTAATCTCTGCAACAAACCCTTCCTGTTTTCCTGTCATGGAAGGTACAGGACCTTCCTATATACACATTTGCTTTACCAAAATCAGTCCAACTTTGTGACATTTATCTTGAAAGTTGAAGATAATCTACTCCCTATAGTCTGTTCATGAGAGTGAGTAACTCTTCATAGCAAAGAAAATCTGCTATGACCCAAATGAAGTACAAAACCTGTGCTGAGTCAGTAGTATCAGCTGATTCATCTAATGCGATTGAATGATATATATTCCTCTTGAAATATTGAACAAAGTTGTTCTGTTAAGTTGAAGTCTGATTAATGCTGCCAAGCAGTTATGTTTCTCCTTGACAGAGGCAGTGGTTTGTACTTTGAAACATTATCGGGGTCTCAGCATCCTACAACTTTGACAGTGCATTCCTGCACAACTTCTACATCACTGCTTGGCTCCCTTTTATCCCCAAGTACATAAGCTACTTGATAAGTTGATAAGTTGCTTCAGTGGCATTATTTCTAGATCTTTTTTTTTTTTTTTTTTTGAGACGGATCCTCAAGCTATCCCCCTGGG